CAGGGTCTCCCTGTAGCCCCAGCTGTCCTGGAACTCACTATGTAGACCAGGCTGGCCTTGAACTCACAGAGATCCACCTGCCTCTGCCTCCCGAGTGCTGGGATTAAAGGTATGCGCCACCATGCCAGGCTCATTATTTATATTTTAATTCATCCTAAATTAATCTAAAAGTATTTAGATTTAGATTTTAAACATACTAATAAAAGACTAATGGAGATAAATTTGTCCTTCAAAGATCAGTTTTAAGTGTTTACAATAAAATACTTTGATAGCGCATAAGAATATATATTACAAATATTCTTATTCTATACAATGACACAGCTTCATAAGAATGTATTGTATATAAGTGGTCCTAAGACAGATTGTTCAGAAATGGAATGCTATACATCCTTCAAAAGGAAGAATGCCCTGTAAATGACCTTAAAATGAAACCTGAAGAGTAAGGTGTTAGAACAATTGATAAACCCTTTGGGGTATTCAACCTTTTATTTCCTAATCTGGAATAAATCATTGTAAATAATAATTAAATCTTTAAAGAATACAAAGCAAAACTGACAATCAGGGAGAACAGGTGATCAAGGGAGAAAAGCTGCTAGAAGTCTGATTTAGACTGGAAATATAACTCAGTGACAGAGCACTTCCTAGTTCAGTCCCCACATTGGGAAAAAAATGTTTTTTAAAGTTTGGCGTACATATTGGAATTTAACCATACAAAATAAAACATTTAGCAACAGCAAAAAAACATTACCCAAATGATAAAATGGTAAAAGATACTAAAATACATACCCATAAAATAATAAATACACTTGTAACTCTTCATTTTTTAAAAAAAGACAGTCCTTAAAGAGCTAGTGAAGGTAAGGCTGGAGAGATAGCTCAGTGGTTTAGAGCACTGGCTGTTCTTGCAGCAGACCCAGATTTGATTCCCAGCACCCACATGGCAGCTAACAGCCCTCCAAAACTCCAGTTGCAGGAAATATGAGGCCCTCTCTGTCCTCCAAGGACATTGAACAACACAGGTGCACTTACATGCATGCAGGCATAACACTAGTACACATAAAATAAAAATAAAAGAGTTAGGGAAGACAAGAAACTTAACAGGCTGCAGTTAGATGTGAGGATCTCTTGACTTGATCTACAGACAATCTGTAAAGCAAAGTAATGTTGTACATTGAATGTATGCATTCTTTCCACATCTGATGACATATTCCAAAGAGATACTGGCCCCTTACACAAGTGTTGAAGGCAGTGGTACCTTGGGACCAGCAAACATCGGCTTTGGATGCATCTTTTCCCAGCTGTGTTTTCAGTAATATTATCTTGGTAGCTTGAAACCAGGTCAGATGGGAGTATCTGCACATTGGAAATCATCCACACTGCAGCGCAGAGCTCTTCATTATAGAGAGCCAGTTGCTAAACATTTGCCAGCACATCCTTGGCAGCATCAAGGGGGATGTTTCCCCTCCACTCCTGAAAATGCCTTCTGTGGAGAGGGAGCTACAGAAACCCTGTCAGCCACACCCTGCCACAGAGGAGGTGGGCTGAATTCGAAAAAGATTAGATACATCCAACCATCTGGGCGCTGTCACCTCTTATGAAATGCTACAGCTAGCACTTCCTAACCCTCAGGGGCAACTCTTGTCAGTAGTATTGAGACAGGTTCTCTTTGTTGAGCATATCCAATCCTGCCACAACTGGCTGTTTAATTCTGGAGCAAGTTACAGAAAGGTCACTTATAACAGGTGTAAGCTGCTGACTTCATGATCATCTTTGTCAGCAACAAAAGCAATGTTATCCCAAACATTATGTTACCCTTTTTTTCATTAGTTCGGTATCCATATAAGCAAAAGACAGATCAAATTTATCAAAGACACCAAAATCACATTTCTCACATTGTTCAAAACAGAATAAATGTAAACCACCTAAATATACATCAAAGTTATGAAAAGGTTTTCTGTCTGCTCATAGAGGACTCACAGCCATTTGTTTGCTATGTGGCAAAAACAAGAATGCCTGGTTGAAGTCAGACATTCCAGAAGCAGAAGAAACTGACCATCAAAAAGTCAATGGTTTCAATAAAGTAGATACAGCAGCAAAATTACATTGCCCATCATGGACACAGCCAGCAGTATACCTAAGTTCAACACAGCATGCCCTGTGCAATAAAAACACTGAATGGTACCTGGTGCTTGGATTACCAGGAATACCTAGACACATGCAGAAGCAAGTAGCTGACTTGCATCTGTGAGACTCCTCAGAATCACCTTTTCCACATATTGCTCACAAGCCCAGGGAATAGATATGAACAAGGTAGGGGTGCAGCAGCTGGTCAGATTAAGTTACTGTGTCACTGAAGACCTAAGGGTAAGTGAGACCTAGATTAATGGTCTAATGGTCCCATTACCTTCCAGCTGCCCATGACTTTGCTATAAGTGTTTCATTGGCATGCCTGTGTTTCATTTCCTAGATCCAGTCAGGGCATCCCACTACTTTGACCTGCACACCAGACCTCTCCCCCCCCGACCCCCGTGTGCCCATTTCTCCCTGTCTGTCATCTTCTCACACCTCAGCAGCTGATGCCTAACTGATGGAAACCTCTTAGCCTCCAGCTGCCTCCAGCTGCCTCACTCCTTCCAACCTGTAATTGCAGTCAGAAAACCGCCTCCT